AGAGGGGGTGGGGGGCGCAGGCCGGGGCGGGACGGGCTGCCCCGGGATGGAGCGGCGCTGAAGGCATTGTGCTAGGCGCCGGCCCGGCTGGGTCTGCAGCCCTCCCCCCCTCCATCCCCCTTCCCTTTCGGCGATGTTCTGCTTCTCCCGGCGCCCCTCTCCCAAGTCTTCTTGAGGCTGGTTCCCGGCTGTACCGAGCCTTGCTTTTGGGGCGCTGGCGCGTTCGCGTCTGGCTTTGGAGCTCTTTGTGGGAAGAGCCTGGGGGGCGCGCCCCTCCGATCGGCCAGAGGCTTTTTCAGAAGCCCACCTGGTTCTGCCGAGTGCAGCCATATCCCCGGAGCCCCTCTGCACATCCCCTGGGAAGGGAGAGCATCAGTGCATGCCCCGGACTCAGCCGAGGAGGGCCGCGCCCCCTGAGGCCGGCTCAGGAATGGGGGTGCGGGGCACAGCGGCTGCGACCCCAGCTGGAATCCGTGAGGACCAGGTGAGTAACGTCCTCCTGGTCAGGACTCAGGGTGTCCTGTGCCAGAGCCTGGGTGGGAGGCGAAGCCAGACGTCGCCCGCCCCGTGCGGTGGAAGGGGCGCCCCTGCTCCTCAGATCTGTGAGAGGGAGATTTGGTTCGTTGTGGGGCTGGGGAGAAGCACTTTACCAACTGGGCCAAGAGCTTAAGCCCCGGTGCATCCTATGGACAAAGGCATGTGGCATGAGGACGTCTGTTGGGATGGCCCGACGCGCTTCAGAGCAGCCTGCTTACCAGTGGCTGCAGCCGGGCGTTGGCACCTTTGGGTAGCACAACTCTGAGACGCTGCCTTTTCATTAACGTACCTCTCATCCCTTTTGCAAAGTGTTTACAAGAGCGGCCATTTAGTCCTCCTCCCTGCTAGGTAGGGAGAAAGTTGCAGTTTTGGAGGGAAAGGAACTGGGTTCAGTGATGTGCCCAGGGGGAGACACTGATAGATCAGACTGTCTTAGGTGCTGGAGGCTGCTGGAGCTTTGGAATCTGTCTCCTCAGGGTAGAGCCATCCCGGGTTGCAGCCTAGCTTCTTGGAGCCACGACTTTGCCAAATCGATGATGTTTGCCTGTATAATGCATCTTACTTTCTTCAGCCACTTTGAGAGCAGGTGAAAACATGCATTTGTCAGCCCCTCTAGGAAGAATGGGGAGAGGGTGAGGCCTCGGGTTATGTAGCCAGGCTTTCTACCCGCCTTCTTCCAGAGCCCCTCTTCCCGCCCTACCCTACACCCACCTTAGTTTATACTTTTAAGGCGCTGACAGCTGCTTTCATACTCACCTTTTAAACCCATTCACGTGACAGCCCTGTGAACTGCATTTATTGTCCCCTTTGATGGGTGAGCAAACCGAAAGCCAGGAAAGTGAAGTATTCTGCCCTGTTTTTGTTTGTTTGTTTGTTTTGTCTTGTTGGGACGGGGTCTCTATGTAGTCCTGGCTGTCCTGAAACTCGCTATGCGGCCGGGGGAGGGCGGGGTTGCCTCCCGACTGAACTAGGATCTTTTGACTAAGCAATGCTTTGCACGTGGGGGTCATTTGACTCAGGACTTTTTGTCCTACAGGCCTAATGAGATGGGAGTGAGCACAGAGACCTTCTCAGGAAGAAGTCTGCTTGGTATTCTGGTACTAACTTCAAGACCTTGGGTCCCCAAATCTGTGTTGCGGCCCTTTGCATGGGGAGCCCTCTCACCAAGGCGTATGGAGAAATCAGAGGGTGTGTGCGCTCTGTTTGGAGTCTGAACTTCACCCGTCGTCATAAGTGTCAGCAGATCCAGGTAGAGTCCCTTGGCACACACTCCATAGGCCATGCTATCCAGGAAGCCAGAGTACAGGTTGGGCAGGTGGGCTGGGTAGGGTTATGTGCAAAGTGACACCCCATGAGGAGGCAGCCAGCTGTGGATACTGTCACAAGGTCCCAACACATTGTTGTCTGATGTGAGCTTTGTGGAAACCGTAAATTTTTGTGGGGGGCAAAAATCTCATTTTTTTTTTAAATTGGCTTTTAATTTAAAACTCGTTTTTGTTAAATACACAGAGTAATTGAATTGTGTGTTCAGGTGTTTTGTGATCTGCAGACTGACAGTATGCAGCCTAGATTAGACCTTTTGAGACACAGCCTATCTGAACCATTGTAAAGCATGACTGAAGGGGATAAGTGGTGTCTTTAAACCCCCAAAATATTAACAAGGGGGGGGGCGCGGGGAGGTTAGCTGTCAGTGTGCTTTGCAGTTTTGAGGAAGGATTTAATACTTCATTCATTCAACTTACCCTAATCTTACCAATGATCCTATCCCGTCCCAAAGAAGAATACTTTCAACTGGTTTTCGGTCTGTTTCTGGGGTCCTTTTCTTTGCCTGGCTGTGGAGAGGGTAGCGCTCATGGCAGATATATTCAAGGAAAGTTGGGAGCATGAAGGAAGGAGTTTTCAGTCTGTCAAGTCTAAATCCTGATGAGGTCCATTTGCATGTTTGTTTTGGCTTGTGTTTGTGATATACTGGAGTCATAGGCGACACTGGGAATAATCTGAAGGTACTGCCCAGCCCTGCCCCTTACAGTGTAGGCTCTGGGGTACCTGGTGATAGAGCTTATCTGGTATATAGTAAGTTTTCAAAAACACAGGTTATTAGGGAAGATTTTTTTTGACATAGGAGTATATAGAAAAATTAAAGTTCTTTTCACATCTCCTTGATTATTTTTCCACCTCTGAGGTAACCACATCATATGTATTTCCTTCCAGGTCCGTGTGTGCGAGTGTGTATGAGTGTGAGTGTGTGTGTGCGAGTGAGTGGGTGTGTATGAATGTGTGTGAGTGTGTATGAGTGTGAGTGTGTGCACAAGTGTGTGTGTGTGTGTGTGTGTGTGTGTGTGTGTGTACATGTGTGCATGTGGGAATGTGGGTGTGGGGGCATACTATGTAGAAGCATAGTATACATGTGTGCAGGTGAGTACGGGTGTATCTGTGCATGTGAAA